TAAAGATAATACAAACATAATACTATATGGCATTCCCTATTTTTATACAATACAATATACAATACCATAATAGTTTAGCGTAAATTGTGGATGCCGCCTTATCACTAAATAATTTCTTACAATTTATTCATATTCCTTTCGCCTAATCATCCATTCATCCATTCATTCAATTTTTTTAAATAATAATTTCAGTTAGGACTAAAACGCTTGAGAATTATGTTACTATTCTCCTTAAAACAACCATAAAATTACAATTCATTTTCGAATTATTCATTCAGTGTCTTCTTTCACGGGATTACTTTGAATATTACCACCATTGGACGTATTACCATAAGTGACGTATTCACCATTATAAACATAATCTTGGTGAACCACTTCGACAATATGTTCAGGATAAACAACTGGTAAACCTAATCTACTAGTATTTGTCGTTTCTTTTTCATCGTCCTCACTCATTTCAAATGATTTTCTTGATGAAGTCTCACCCGTTTCAATTGATCTTCTTGGAGAAGTTTCAAATGATCTTGGAGACTCACCCATTTCAAACGATCTTGGAGAAGTTGATCTTGGTGAAGTCTCACCCATTTCAAACGATCTTGGTGAAGTTGATCTTGGTGAAGTTTCACTCATTGCAAATGCTTTTCTTGATGAAGAGCCATCTTCCATTTGACTAATTCTTTTGCTACCTTTCAGTTTAAGGGAACTCTTTCTAATACTACTTCTCCTTTTAAGATTTGCAATAGTTTTGATCGAAATACTTTTAGTTCTATTGATATTTCCAGGATCATCGTAATCATCAATGTTAATCTTGATTTCATGATTTTGTAAATGCCAATTCACACAAATTAAAAATATATAACTGCAAAAATATAACCACATGAAAATGAAGCTTATAATACGAAGTATGCATGCTAGCTGGGATAGATTAGAGATATAAGGATAAGAGGCTGGGCATGCAAATGGAATTTTACCTATATCTTTGAACATGAAATAAGTATAAATTACTTTTTTTTTTTCAATGGAACGAAAAAAGTTACATTAAAATTAATTGTTAATTGTTAATAATAGATTATATATGATTGAGTTAATTGATTTCGAGGAAAAAACCGGCCCATACCAGGAAATAAGATCCAAATACAGGATGATAACCTTAATTAATCAAGATATAAAAAATAAACGTGTTAAAAATTAACGTAACGTTAAAAACGAGTCTATGTGAATGAATATACAATATAAATTCTATGTATATATATTACTATATATTAAGCATTCAAATAAA